AGTATAGTGTGGGAGTGGAGTCAAGGGAATTGTAATAGATATGTATGATATGGGGGGGGGGAGTGGGGCAGTGGATTGGGGGAAGGGGGTTGTCACTTTGAGGGGTAAAAAGTATAACTATTGCACTGTGTTGTACAGCTGAAACTAATTTTAAAAATGTTTCTTTCACAATAAAAAAATAAATTACTGAAAAAAACTATAATGGGAGTATGATGATGTGAAAAGTGTTCTATGATTTAAAATTTGGTTTTAAGAGATGCTCTGAAACTAAACAATAACTAAAAACAACTAAAATTTATTAGTTTTTAAGCCATACTTTGTATCCATTATCATTCAATCCTCACAACAATCCGATGAGGGAGGCACATGTGTTACTCAACTACACAAATAAGAAAACCAAAGACTCAAAAAACTGAGTAAACTCTGAAGGTCAGAGAGCTATTGAAGTGGTAGAGTTATGACTTGAAACCAGGTCTGTGAATCCCCAAAACCCTGCTCTGAACCAGCCACAACACTGCTATTCATTGTCAAAATCTGCTTCATACATCAAGGTCCGGTAAGAATGTCTTCATGAAACCCTTCTCATTTCTCTGGTCAGAATTCATCCTCCATGATAACATTCCAAACTGCTTATTCATCTCTATGTATAACTTATTTCATTCTGCCTCCTACTATATATTGTTGTTGACATTGTCTTCTATCACTAGAACAGCAAACTTGTCACTTAAGGTAATTACTAACCTTAGTTGGTTACCAATTTCTGAAATAGCCAACTGTTACAAATTATACAAATTAGATCAATGGTTCACCACCAGGACTGATTTTGCTCCCAGGAGGGCATTTAGCAATGTCTGGCAACATTTTCAATTAGCACAACTAAGGTGGGGGTGGAAGGGATTGGAGTAGGGAATACTGAGGAGAGGGTGATACCGCCATCTTGTAGGTAGAGGCCTGGGGTGCGGGTAAACAGCCTACAATGCACAGGGCAATCCCATACAACATAAAACCGTCTAGCCCCAAAATGTCAATAGTGCTGAGAATCCCACATTATAATACAACAATGTTATGCCTCCCAAGAGCCACTATCCATTAGAAATTTTTATTTTAAAATTATTTTGACTTGAAAAAGTACATATATATAATATGTTTGAAGTGGTACGAAAATAACAAATGAGGGTAGTCATAAATTTTAGTCCCATTTAAAATGTTATTTATTTTGATGGAATTATAATTTACAAAAATTATTCTAGTGTTCCTCACTATATATCTTACAAGGACTTATACAAAAATTACACAGACAAGTATTTGTTTAGGTTTTTTAAAATATCAAAACCTATAATTGTAAAGGTATTGAAAAATTTACAATTTAAGTGTTAATATACTATAGCATCCTTTTACTCTTACCTGTTTTTTCCAATAGCAAAATATTATGAAGGCACTCTCAAAAATCTATGTCTCTACAGAGTTTAAACAATATTTTAAACGTCCATTACCTTTTTAGCAGCATCTCTCTCTTTGCAGGCTAGCTGAACTTTCTTTTCTGCTTCTGCAATTCTTTGAGTAAACTCATCTTTCAGAGAAGAAATGCTGCTGCTTTCTTCTTTCACTCTGAACATTTCACTAAATTTAAAATAATACTGAGATTGGGAATACTTGTTTACATATTGCAAAGGTAACAAGATGAGTTCAGTTTGTGAAAGGAAAATAACATTGTCTTCAATACATACCTTACAAAAATAGATTCGTTTTAGGTCTGTTAATTTTTCAGAGAAAAATTATTTGCTAAATTTATTTTTAAACACCTCAAGGAAAACCCATTAGTAATTGAAAATGTCACAATGTTTGATATGTAAAAATATGAAAAAAGTAAATAGGGGACCAGCCGAGTGGCTCAGTTGGTTAAGAGCCCGAACTCTGAGCAACAGGGTCCCCGGTTCGATTCCCACACAGGCCAGGGAGCTGCACCCAAGCTGAGCTGCCAACAGGTGGCAGAATGGCTCAGCTGGTGTGAGAACGTGCTCCTAACAACAAGGTTGCTGGTTCGACTCCCTCATGGAATGGTGCCTACGCCCACCCACAACTAAGACTGAACAGGCACCTTGAGCTGAGCGGCTATAAGCTGTCGCCGGGCTGCCAGATGGCGACTGGACTTGAAGCTGAGCTAGCTGTGCCCTCCACAACTAAGACTGAAGAACAACTTGGCTGTTCCCCTTCCCTAATTCCCCAATAAAATCTGCAAAAAAAATTAAATAAAAATGTTCATTTTTGAATTATGTCACCTTTTGCCAATCACCTCCTTAATGCAAACCAATACTCAGTATTTTTAAATATCAGTTTTCTTTAAAGATATGTTTTAAATCTCTAATACTAAAAGATTATTAGTAATAAGTGGAAAAATATTTTTTTGTTTTTTTGCAAAACACCTCTCTTCAATGCCAAAGGTAATATGGTAAAGATAACGTGAGGAGAAAAGTAATATGTTAGGTTAGAATTGAAATACTATTCAAATTTCAATAATTATAAGCAAGTTAAATTAAAAACCATTGTAATTTAAAAAACATTATTAAAAGATAACCAACCAAGTGTAGGGGCTTCTACAAAATGTGTATAACTATTCACATTTGTAAAATACTTACTCTTTCAGATTATCATAAGCTTCTTCTAAAAGTGCTTTTTCTTTACTAAGAGATAATAACTGAGCTTCCCTTTTATCCAGTTTCTCATTCAGATACTCAATTTTCTAGAGAAGGAGAATACACAGGAGTCAAACATTTAACTTTAAAAGGCCATTCTTACATGCAGGTAATGAGTTAAAAGGATAACCTAATCATTATAATCAATAAAACAGGATGATCTCTTAAAAATGATTAAAAACAATATTGGGAACACAATGAATACAGTACAAGATTCTTACACAGCTGGTAGGGGAGTGTAAATTAGTACCACCACATAGCAGGTTGGAGTATAAATTAGTAAACCGCTTTGGAAAACAATTGGACAATATCTAGTTGAAGATCTACAGACCCTTTGATATAGAAAATTGTACTTTTAGGTATACCTCAGAGGAGAAAGCTTTTGCATAACTATACAAGAACACTTACAGCTGTGTGTTTTTAACAGCTAAAACTTGGGAACAGTGTGTACATCCCACCAAAAGAATAATAAAAAAATAAATAAAAGAGGGGCTTAAAGCCTCCCAAAATGTTCTATATCTTAGTCGGATTGAGGATATACAAACAAGTGTATGTTTTTCCGTATTATTCTTTAACCCAAACATGTAACTTTTTTTAGTATGATGTAATATTACGAGTCTACTCTTTCAAAAGTAATTTTAGAAAATCCATAGGCATGCAATTTTTAAATCTCCAGAATATTATCAGTATAAAGCTAAACAAAAAAGAATGGTTAAAATATCTTATTCCTTAGGTCCTGCTGAAGCAGTGATAAGCTTGCATATCAGTGGGGGAGGAATGGTGCCTTTTGTACTAAAAAAAAAAAATTGTCTGACCTAATTTAGGTCTAGATTAATTTAGAAATCACTTACCTTATTGATAATAAATAGTACTGGTTTCTAGGAATTCAAACTACTAGTAAAGCTATAGCTTGGCATTTTTTGTGTGTGTGTGAATAACATCAAACCTAGGTAAGAGAATCTGGCTTTTTTTTTTTTTCACATTAAATAATTCAATACATGGTACTTTGTATTGTAAATACAGGACATTTCTTCAAGACATCCTATATGTCAGAGGAGTCTATTAAAGATGCCAGATCCAACTCAATATCTATATCTAAAAATCATAGGAAAAACTAAAACTGTGAGTTAATGCTTGTTCAAGAATGTATACCACTTTCTATATATCTATCTATATATATATATACACACACACATATATATTAGTTAGAAGTAATTTTTCATTCCTAAGCAATGCCTTAGTTCCTTAGACATTTCCCTTTCTTATTCATGTAATTAACTATTAAAAGGAATATAAAAAATAACATAAAAAAAGCAAATGGAAGCAATTAATAACAGAAAAACATCAATAATTAACCTAAAAACTAAATTTGAGATTTGCTACAAATGTGAACATGCAAAAAATGTTTTGATATAACAAAACCCATCTAATAAATTTGTTTTTGCACCTCTATCTGTAAGAGTTGAAGATATATGTTTACAGACAGTCCTTTGCAAACTGACAAATTAATGAGCATAGTATAAAAGAATTTTAAAGTGATAAAGACTCAACAGTAAAGGCATAAGATAAAAACTTCTTTATGTTTAGTTATATTGAAATATCAACTTATGCTACTTGGAAAAATTTCAAATAATTCATTATGAGTAAGTCTTCAATTTTAAAGTCCCTAATGCCGCATTTAAATGGCAAAAAACCTGTTTTTTAAATCAGTACAAATCACAATGCTTCACCGAATATTTTAAAAAAACACGATTTAATCTCTGAAAAGCATATGTAAAAATACCCTTCCTGTTTCTAGAGTTACCTTGCAAATATCTTCCTTCTCAGGAAGTGCTTCTGGCTGACTTTCAGCAGCTTCGCACCACTCAGCCGTCTTGTCTAAGACAGTGTGTCCATCATTTACTGGTGTAGAAGAAACCAAGCTATCAGGCTGTTCACAGTTAACAGGAGTGGCACTTCGTCCGCTTTCTTCCATTTCCGTTTCCTCAGTGGGAATAACTAGTGTTTCATTTACTTCTTCCTCAGATTTTCCTTCAACAGATTCAACTATTTTAGTCTTTGGAGTTGAAGGATTAACTATAATAGGTCCTAAAGCATATCCCTTGCCTGACAATTCATCATCTGAGTTGATTTCACTTACACTTCGGCTATCTAATGACTGTACACTAAACGAGTCTATTCTTTCAAAAGCATCAGATGAGCAGCAACTCTCAGTGAGTTTTTGGAAATCATCCAAACGATTATATTCGGGACAAGCAGATGCTGAGAGAAGCTGAAAAGATGTCTGCATCAAGTGAAGACTTGATTTTGAATCTGTAGTCTCTTGTCTTGAACTTGCTGAGCTCTCACTTATTACACTTTCATGATCTAAAACTTCAATATCACTGGTGGTAGAAGTACCTGACGAGAAAGTACTCACAGGAGGAGAAGGTGTATTGCTCTGTCTGTCTTCATGTTTTTGTTCCTTAGGTTCCGATGCCATGTCTTTTGTTTCTGCTGTGAGAGACTGCGTAGATATATTGGATAGATTTTCCCTAGTTATTTTCACTTTAATTACACTCTCAGATACTTTCAAACTTAAGGTTGACTCCTTTATATCCTGTTCTTTATTAACAATTTCTTCATGCTTGCCTTCAGTTTTAGGTGACAAAGTATCCACTGCCAGAGTTTCCCCTGATGATACGCAGGAAGAAGAGTCTTTTACTTTTGACTCAGTTGTTTCAGTTGTTCTTGACTCTCCTGTGTGCAAGGATTCCTGTAAGGTGCTTTTCACTTCTTCTTCTGGTCTCTGTGATTTAGCTGGTGGTTTTGATACCACTGGACTCTTCTGAATGGTTTGGACATCCGTTGGAGAGAGAAAGGCACTGAAGAAAGTTTCAGATTCATCTACCACAGATCTCCGAACTGGCTTTGTAATTGCTTTAGGAGAGGCTACTGGTTGACTCTGAGGTTCAGTGTTTGATTTTGGCCCCCAGGTTGATGTATCCCATCCTCCACTGGCAGGGGGACTTATTCCTATGACCAAATAAATAAATACATTTATATATATTAACATTACAATCACCATTATAAGCCAATAGACATGTTAAAAAAGAAAATCTGGAATACAACCTAAAATTTGCACCTGTTAAACTCATTGCTTACTACATTATTAACTAGTTCACAGGTTAACTTTGGGCTTTAAAGAGGAAAACAGGTGTCGATCTGCCCAATAGGAACTAGGAACAAGGATAAAAGACAAGACTGGGCCTGGCCTACCAGAAGCAATTATGTTATTCCCTCCCACAACAAATTAAGAAAGTAATGGTATGTTATAAAACTCCTGCTATGTTCAAGATACACAATATGATGCATTTCACAATAGTATCTTCACTAACACAGGTTATGTGTAGTCATGGCAAATTGACTCTACCTTCTATTCATTTAGTTTCATATTAATTTTTTTCTTGTAATATCAACAATATAGTTACAAGCTAGGCAAGAGGGCAACACTCAAAAACTGAACCCAAAATACTGGTGACAAATGTTCTTTTTCAAAGATCAAAATAAACTGATGGGAACAGTAACTTCTAGAGGACAAATTCATTTTCATCCACTTAATTACAAGTTCATTCTCCAAGTCTCACTCTCCAAACCCACTCTATGAGAAAGTTTTGTTCTCTTCCTAAACTACAAATTATGGCAGCAATTTGTAGGTCATATGAATTCCAGAAATGTGCATTTTTATTAGAATTATTGCTTTTTTGATGTAGATGGTAGTTTTCACTAGGATTCTTAAAAATCACTAAGGAGAAACTATCGTCTGGGTGAATAAAAGGTAATTGTATCAGTCATAGAAATATGTTTTACTAAAAAACCCAGTGATAAACAAAAAGTGTCATATTCCCTGAAATATTTAAAGCACTCTTCTAAAAAAAAAAAATCTGCTTTTCTAAATTCAGAAGTGGCTGAGCAGAATTATCACAAATTATGCACAATTAGAAGCTGTGGGGAGAGCACAAGTATCTAAAAGCTCCTATGAAAACGATGAAAAAAGGAGAAAACCAAAATTTAAGATGCAAATAAACAAGCAAGATTAAGTCTGCTAATTAGTTTAAGTCATCTTAATGAATTACAGAAGTCAAATTTGCCTTTTGGAGAATGTTTTATATAAATCCCAGCGTTATCTGATATCCACTTAAATTACTCCATTTTGAAGACTGGTCATTTTGTAATGATGGCAATGTAAAACACAGGTGATCAAAAGACATTTATGGGATTTCACTAAAATCTGAGTTTATTCTGGATAACTTATTTTTAAAAATGAATAATGAAGCACAATTGAAGCCCCAAGTTTCATAAAACAAGTGTCCTTATATTTAAAACTTATAACATCTCCTCTAAAGTTCAGTAATTCAAAACGTGGGATACATATGTAAAAGGAAGTTGAGCTACTCCAACAAGGCCTAACACCTTGTAAAAAACAATAGGATCATGATATATATACTTCACATTTAGGTCCTGGCTTTTTAACGACGTAAAATTAAAAATAAAACCCAGAAAGAGCAGTCAAGAATAACTCACTCTTTTTCAGAGGTCACACACCCCCAAAATCTGCGAATCTTTACCGCACACACCAAAATGCTAAACTGCCAAAGGAACCTGAAGATCCCTAAAAGATTAAGCTCAACTAATCTGACAAACTGAGACGTAACTACTTGGAAGTAAACTGTGATGCAACCCAAAAATCTTGGGCCAGTGTCCACCGGTAGTATCTGCAGCATATTCTGCCCCTCGCCCGCTGAGTGGCCTAGGGGAAGTTACTTGGCCTTTCTGAGCCTCATTTTCCTCTTCTGTGAAACACGGATAACAGTGACCCTAACTCGAAGAGCTGGTTTGAAAATAAAAAAGTAATAAAAAGCCCACTACGCGCTACCAGGCACGAAGTGCTCACTAAGTGTTAGCAACTGTCGTCCTGTCCATGTTGATGTACTCCAGGATCTTGGCTGCAGTGTTCGAAGCGCGCAGCAATTCCGGAGCGTTGTGCTTGGAGCTCCGTCCAGGGAGCGCGTGGGGACAAGACCAACAAATCAAGTCCCTGTCATCCGAGGCCGGCAGGACCCGCACCCTGGGCCGCATGCGGCAAGGAGGAACGTGGAGCTGCATCTTCCCTCGGGAAAAGAGCAAAGACCAACTTGGAGACAAAATAAATCTCTGAGGACCGGCCGGGAAGAAATGACTTCCTCAGAACTTTCGTGAGGAAGGAGCCCGGTGTACACCGCTTCACCTGTCCGCCTCAGAAGATGCCTGCGGGAGCCTAGGGTCCCCGCTCCCCTCCCTCTTACCCGGCTCTCCGTACGGAATGGTCTCGGCCCAGGCGCTCGGCTCCTCTTCCTGGATGTCCAGGACCCTGTCGATGGACTTCTGGGCCTGAGACAGGGCCTGCTTAGCGAAGCTGGAGAGCTGGGAGGCGTTAAACCAACTCATCCTCCCTCCTCGGCCGGCAGTGGCGGCGGCAGCACCAAGCGGGAAGGCCGAGGGCCAGGGCGACCGGAGCAGGCCCGGGGAAAGGTGCAGCGAACCACTTCGACTCCTTCTCCACTCGACCGGCCTTGTCAGCGGGTGCCCATCATCCCACCAGTCTCCCCTGAGCCCGGGAGGTTACCCTCGGCCCTTCCCATAGATGAAAGAGCTGAACTGCGCATGCGTGGGCTACTTCCACGTACACAGCCACCGCATCCCAGAGGTCCGAGTTCCGTCGATAGACGGAAAAACAGTCGGTACTTTGACGTCACATCCGGGAGCCCGGGGTTGCCATTAGTTACTGAGCAACGCGGAACTTTTCTATTGATACGGATTCCAGATAAGAGTGCAGGAATTCTCAGCCACCTGAGTTAACTGTAGTTACCAGCAGAGGCCGATTCATCGGGGAGGAATCAGCGAGTTTTCACGTGGGTTCCTTCCTAGAAAATAACTCACGTACTAAAAGCTAGCTAGCGCCTTGCTAGCAATAATTGCTAACGGAGGCAAATTTGGGACTCGCATTTCTCTTAGTGCTTTGTCTCAACTTGGCCCTAAGGAGGAATCCTGGGTTTGGGTTTGCCTAAAAATACTAGACATTGTATAAAAGACCTGATCCAGCCCACCTGATGGAAGTAAAAAGCCATCTTCCACAATGAGTTACAAGCTAAAACAAGGGTACAGAAGGCACAATCTCTCCTTCACAATACCGGTCCATTCGCGGCCCCAGTCAAAACAAACCTTTGAAGCACTAAGCCTATTCCTCTATTAATGTGTGCTGTGCATATTATTTAAAAGACAACTTTTTCTGCATGCACTCTTCAAACATTTAGCTATACGAAGAAATCTAATTGGTGGCCTTCCCAGTCAACATCTTTTTGGTTTGGCCCCTATAACGTTAAAGATAAAATTCTACCAACATTTAAAAGCCAGATTTCATATAAAAATCCAGATTTTTCAGCTTATTTTAAAGGATATGGACACCAACATGGAACTGCCGGCAAGAATGGTTGCCCCTTTTGACAACTACTTTTCACTCATTTGCTACAGACCCCACTAATCTTATGACATTCTCTTATTACACCCTCCTCACTGTGGTGATTTACTTTACCTGCCTGTCCCCTGTATTTGAGTATTTTACCCCACTGCAAGGAACCAAGCCATAAGGAATTATTTTTCTTAAAAAAAAAAAATCAGATTTAAACTCTGTCCTTGATAAATTATGATCTTCAAATAAATTTATCTTTCAGTAAAAGTTTGCATGTTGAAACTTACAATTTAGTAATCTACACAAGTAGTTCTAAATAACTCAGGCAACTTCAAACAGTTTAGCTAAGTAGATGGAGAGGGTGGTTTGGGCAAATGAGGGTTGGAATCCCTCTTCCAACAGTTCTGTTGGGTTGTCAGAAAAGTCATGACATATTTTTTCTGTTTCTCGTTGCAAAGCTGTGTCATGACTTTTCTGACAACCCAATAATTGTACAGTTTTGAGTAAATGACCTGAACATTCTAAAACTATTTATTCAGCTCTAATATTGTCACCTTCTCAAAAGGCTACTTTGAGAATTATTACTGCACCTGTATAGAGGAAGTGCTAAATGTTAGTTCCTTCACGTTAAAAAATTTACATTGACTATGTAACTTTTTAAGTAGAGAAATTTATCTCACATGATTTTATAATGCAACTTAAATTGTTTGTCAACATAGAGCTAGAAAGAATGACAATTTAACCCAGTGACATGTAATCACAAAACTTCTGAAAACAGCCATCTACATAAAAAATACAGAACATATACTACATGCTCCCACACTGAGATATTAAAAGTCATTTTTCAGTACTTATGCCTGATTTTGTTTTAAGCCTTAGGTCTTTTTTTTTTGGGGGGGGGGCATTTTAAGAGACCTTAATATAAAAACACAGCTATTCCATTTCATTACAGTATTATGTTAGAGCAAATTAAATTAAATCAGTAGATATTTACTGTGGCAAAAGTATTAATTCAGGTGCCATAAAAATTTTGTCTTAGTAATTCTGCTACACATCTAAAAATTATTCCTGCATTCCTACAGAACTACTTACTATCCTTAACATATTTTTAAAAGTTTCAGTGAGAACAGACAACATATGATTTTATTAATAAATAGTGTGAAAGCATCAGTGATAACTATTTAAACATTAAATTCTTTTAAACATCCATGTCTTGGTTTTAATGTTATGCATATTAACCTCTATAGCACTACAAGTAAACACATGAAAATATTTCCCATTTCCATGCACAGGTATTCAGCTATAATAGCATTTATAAATGCTATGGACAGGGTAACCTTTGCAGTAATTAATATTCATTTGACAGCCACAATTAGGTGAATATTAAATAAACAACATCCATGCTTTAGATATCAAGTTTTAACACTGAATATTATTTAGCTTAATTTTCTTATTTTCTTTAAAGGGACATCTTCTGTATATGTGGGTGCTCAAATGAAAACTGAGGAATGCATTCTCTGACCATAATAACAAAATTCACACACAAGAAGGTGTTTGCCTCCTCCTCTAAAAGAAGCAATACATTTGCTCATAATCTCTCTCTCTAGGCATCATTTCCCATATTATTAATGAAAATGCTTACAAGCACCACCCCCCAAATTCTGTCTTCAAGGGAAAGTTATAAAGTTCAAAAAAAGTGGTTCATTATATTAAAAAAAGTAAAATTCCGGCAACACTAATGTAAAAAGGAATCGACTAAATTTCTTAGTATCCACAAAGTACAACATTTCCACAAGTTTTCTATTTTGTGCAGATTTATTTTCCTTAAGAAATAAAATGAAGTTTGAACAGTACAGTCTGTGGTGTGGTGACATCCGCAACTGCCAGTTCTTGTCCATCAACAAGTCCCAATTCTAAAATAGAAAAAGCATAATTAACTCAAGCAAAACAAAATCTCAACAAAAACGATCACACACACAACACAAAAGCTTGAGTATCATTGTCGAGATAAACATCAAAATCCAGTTTTCTTTAATCAAGGCAATATTATACTTGATTTCTTAGATTTTTATATATTCTTCTAAAAGAGCAATTAATTATGGTTTCTAGACATAAATAATTATATCATCATTTGAAGGTATTAAGAGCAAATTGAAAGGCCTTTGTTACTTTCACTCCATCCCCCCAAAGAAAAGAAGACATTGATTAGTAAATATACTCATTTAAAATACCTTTCAATGTCTTGGAGAGATTTGGCCTTGTTCGTTCTTCAATAGAGGTGACTGACTAGAAAACAAAATTTTAATGTAAAGCACATTAAATAAAATTAAACTTTTAATCTAATTTTGTGAAAGAAATAAAAACTGAACACTTATCACCTGTAAATAAAGTGTTCTGTTTTTTCCCTCTAATGTGGCTGTGATGGCTGGAGATTTCATCTGCCTAAATATGAGGAAAAAAGAAAAAAAAAAAATCAAAGATCACTTTTTAGAAAACAATTCTAGGTTTTAAAGTTTTAAAATCTCAAAAATTATTCTACATAACAAAAATCCAGAACACTTACAGAGAAGCACTATTGGTTAGATAATCCAAAACCTCCTGTAGTTTAGCTGATGGAGAAAACTGAATATTTTGTGGAAGCTGGCTACAAGCTGGGCAGTTTTCCTACATATATAAAACACAATAAATCACACTGGCACATGAACCAATAATAGTCTTTATAACAACAAAATGAAATCAAATTGTTTTATAACCACGCATATTTTCTATGAACAAATTCTTAAGCTTTAAAACCTGCCTTTCATTATAGGCCATTTTTCCTAAATTATTTTGCTACATCGCATTTATTTCAGGCTGTACTACAAAAGATGTATAGTAAGTAGGGTTCTGGAAGTTAGAAAATACTTAGGGTGTGGGCAATTTCATTCATATTTCTAACCAGTAATTAATATTTAAAAATCAAGGTATGCACGATCAAAGAAGTTTTCATTAGTATACTACTACTAACCTTTCTTTCTGCTTCAAATGTGTATGTGTACAGTCCATCTACATCATTGAATACCAAGTAATTATTAAGGGGAATATATGCACTGTAATGAAAAAATGTCCATCTTTATATAATTGAGCCAGATCAAAACAGAGATTTACATACTTATTAAAAATGAAACTCATTACCTTGTGGCTATTTTAAAAACCTCAGTGGCACACACAGCTGAAGAGGGGAGAAAACAAAGAAGCTTTAGCTCAATGAAAATTAGGCATTTAAAATTAGAAGTTTTTAAAAAGTTGTAAATCAGAAGAGATAAATTTACAAGGCTATTGATTAAAAAATAGATTAACATATATATTTTTTTCTTTTTAAAAACAGAAAAAGTTAACAGATTTTATATTTGTTTTGTATAATCCAAGTGACAGAATAACATTACATATTTCATTCCTCTTCTTTGGAATAATGAGCAGCCTGTTATACTGATTAAAAAGAAGTGGTACTAAAATGTCCCCTTATGCAGAGCACTTTATGACATAATGAAAGACAAAATATATACAAGGCCCAATAGCTTATTCTTTTTTGGACAGCTTAGTTATACCACCCACCCAAGAAGATATCAAATTTCTAGAACACCAGTTTTCTGACATAAGTAGCTGTAGAAATGTCAATTTAGATATTGAATCAAAAAAAGAAAACAAAATTATGTAGTGGCCTTTTTTCCTCACCTGCAATGACTGCATTTGTGGAAGCTACTGCAGGAATGATTCGTTTTACTACCCCTGAAAAAATATACTTATTAAAACATGGTCATTTCTTTTAAAACGCAGATATCTTAAGTTAGACAATATGATTATTAAATATAATTTTCTATAATTTGACTTATCAGGCTTTCAAGTCACAAGATAGACTTAAGTTTAACAGTGAAGCAATCTTCTCTCATATTCCCATCATTTTATAGCATGTTCAGAATCTTAAGGAAGTTACATTAGCAAAGGAAAGTAAACTCTTCACTAAGCTTCATATAAAGATGAGGCAATACTGTAACAATAGCTAACAATCGGAGTGTTTACTGTTTCCAGGCACAGTGTGAAGATTAAATAGATATTACAGGCCCACATTATCTTCATTTCACTCTACAACTTGCACTACACAAAATGTTAAACATAGTTCTCTATTTCTACCCTACTTTTTTCATATCAGTATTCAGATTTAGGAATGAACAAAGCCCCACCTTAAACAAT